GTTGTTTTAAGGCTGTGCTGTCTGATAACGGCCTGGTAGCTTTAAAAGTCAGCTTGTTGTCCATGCAGCATTGCGGGTTTGAGGCAAACTACGCGATTTCGCAGCGCCTTGGCCGGTGAGTGCTTTTTCTTTTGTGCATGGCAACGAATTCATTTTCGATATCATGTCTTTAGCCTCTTGAAGAACACTTCTGACTTTAAATATTGCATGAAGAGTTACATGAACATTCTAGCTACGGTACGTATGCAATTATGGCGCTGTGAACGGCGTATGGACGGCAGACTAAATTTTGAGATTTATTAAAATCTGTGAATAATTTTTGAATGTCAGTCCATATGTTTTTGACTCGTCCTCTCATGATTCCTGTGGGTAGTGAATGCGTAATTCTTTCCGAGTATATATTTAGGTTTTTGTTGTAGATTTAAATTTTGCGTGCTTTAATTTTACAGTGTTTATATTGCTGAACTCGGGGGAATATTGTCTGGCGTCAGTTGCCAGTTTAGCTATTTTAAACTAGATTGTGGTCATTCGTCACAGTTTGCTCGAAGCCATTAAGTCTGACAAATTCGAACTTGATTTGCCATGTACGACGTAAGAGCCGGCGATGGAGATGCAGAATATAAATGCGGTGTAGTTGAGCAGCTGGGAAATTTGTTAGATTGCTCAGCTACTCACTTTCATTCGTTCCTGACTAAAGCGCGAAAGATTCGGCAAGCTATTTTGTGACCAAGCATCCCTGGCAAAAACGCTACACTTTATATGCAACACATTTTGCTTCAGTGATCTCTGTGTAGTTCGATAACAAGATATCGGGTCTGTCTCCGTATATACCACGAATTACAGTCCAGTAGGGCACCAATTGTTTCAAAAATGTAGCACGATCGAAAAATTACTTAAGGAACTTTTGTTTGAGGAATATATATAGTGTAGAGTATATATAGTGTAGCAGACCGCTGTTTTGTCTGCTAGATTCGGAGGACCACATCTTCAGTGTGCCGATGGTTACTGGTCATATGTAGATGGGTCAGTCTCGAACAAACACCTTTACTCTGACAACCCGCATACACAAAGTACATACACTATCAGTATCTTTTTAAAATATTTGGCTGGCCCTTTTGTTGATTGTGTTCGGATGCTAGCACCCACTAGCACATTCCCTTTGTGGTGATATCATATCCAACCAATGTTGCCAGTGACACGGAACACCATACGCTGGAAACTGTCACGGTTTAGCTACCCCATCCATCATAGAGGATTGAACCTCTGGGAACTATCGTACACGTACCATGCAATTCCATTAGTGATTAATGGTTATTTATAGTCGACATGCCATCCGTCGCGCAGATACCTTGCATTGTACCGGGGTTGTTAGGCCAGTAGTGCGTCAGACTCAGAACCGAGAGGTCTCTGGTTGTGCTCTGGTCAGGCCATTCGCCTCTCTTCTTTCTGACATGGATGCTATTGTTCTGGAAGGGAACGGGAGAATGCAAATTATGCTTGCCACATGGCTGCTGTCGACTCTGCCTTTAAAATAAGGCAATTTTGGCTGATAACATGGAAATGGAAATCAGAATCACCATCATTAACTTTATTAAAAGAAATTACCACCGTGGCCGTCATGAAAGTTAGGAAGACCGACATTTCCTCGGTTATAAAGTTTTCTTCATTTCCATTTCCTTGTGCGTTGGAAACTGTCATTATCGAAATACGCCATCCACCAAGCGGGCATCACCTCCTTGGGTGTAGT